AGGTTGCTACATTTTTTTCTTTTTTCTTTTTCACTTGACAATCTGAGGGAGGTCCGTGCCCCTGACTCAATGGTCAGGGGTCGCACGTTTTAAAAACTGCCTTGGCAGAGCAGCTGGGAACAGCTGGCTGAGGGTCGAAGGCTCCTTTAGCGGCAAGGTGCCAACAGAACTCCAGTGCAAACATGTCAGCAGGTACATTTGGGCCAAAGTGTCTTGTAAGTGTGCACGTGTCCCGGGATTCGATCCTCGGAGGCGGGAGGAGGTGCCCTCGCTGTCTGTGGGCCTAGAGGAGGGTTCCGCCGTGGGCAGCCGGGGGAGCGCGGCTGGCCTGCGCTCCCAGTGGGCGGGTGAGGCCCCCCTGCTCCCGCCGCTGCTACGCGGCCGCGGGCGTGGGCCCAGGGCGTGCTGGTGGGAGACGTGATTCTCATCCTAATCACTCGACCCGCTTCAGGGGCGCCCTCCTCCCCGCCCTTCCTTCTTTTTTAAGTAAGCTGGCATGTTTGGTCAACACCAGATTTGCTTCCTGGAAGTTTTCTATTTTGTTGTTCTGAACAAGGACCCTAATTCTTCTCCGGAATGAGAGAACCTCTCTGTTGGGCATACAGTGTTCAGTTGGTCTATGAAAACACAAACCCACTCAAGTCTGCAGACTTGTTTACACAGAAAACTGAACCTGTGGCCGGCTTAGAGCCCGAGGCTGGCTCTGGGCACTGCGCTTTGCAATCTGCCCAGGCCCGCCCCCCGGCCAACGCGCGCGCACGCACCTTGAGGAAAGGACTTGCCTTAGGGTGGAAGGCGGTGTGACACGCCAGCCGGCCGCGCTCGCTGCCGAGCGCGGGCACGTTCACGTGGCGGCGTGGCCGCACAGGGCGGCTGGAAAGGTGGCCGGGGCCTCCGGCACCGGAGAGCCCCGTGGCGGCCGCGGGGCCATCCAGGCCCTGCGCTCGGCGTGCCCGGCGAGAAACCACCACGCCGGGCGGTCTGCCCCCCCCACCCCGCCCGGCGTCTGATGTATGGGGTGCCTCCTCAGCCCTAATGAGCCTCACTTTGTACAGCGAATTTGCTGAGACATCAAAAAGTATTTAAAAGAAAGTTTCCTGCTTTTTCCTAATGAGCAAGGTGAGGATTTATGGTGTGAGGGGCGGGGGCTCTGGCTGCGGAGAGAGTCTGTTTAACATCCCAGCGCTTCCGCGCCCCTGCGTTTCGGGGGTTCAGAGCACTGGGCTGCGGGAGTATAGAGACATGCAGTTAGGGAGTGAAAAAACGCCATTTGGTTCGGAGCAGATGGCTGGCTAGGGGGCTGACGGCGTCTGAAGGCGTGTCATCCCCTTCAGCCTGAATCCCTGAGGGCTCCCCTTGTCTTCCCAATCAATGAAAATTAAAGTGCAAAGAAAGGGTGAATGGTCGGACCTCGAGTCTCTCCTTTGTTCCTCTCGGCTGCTGGTGCGCAGGAGTTAAACCGCAACAGGCTCCCATAGAAACACTGGAGTTAAACAGTCTCCCCGAGCTCGGCCTGGAGGGGGGAGCCCACGTGGCGTGGGAGATGGAGGAGGAGGAGGAGGAGAAAGGAGGGAAGAAGAGCAGGGGAGGAGGAACGGGAAGAAAGGCTCGTTCTGCTTGATTTCCCCAATACAGAATCGCGTGGCATAAATTAAGCTGGAAAAGAATGAGCGCTTTGGGCAGGGTTCTGATGGATTTTACGATGCCTTTCAGTTCCGCTTTGCCGCTGTAATCGAGAAATCTGTGCCACGTCAATGTAACAAATACTTGATGCTGAGGGGGGTTTGTTAAAGATTTGGGGCAAGTCTTTTCCCCCCAAGGTTTAAGCCCTTGCGCGTGGAACTGTTAATTTCCAGTTTTCTAAACAGGCATTCACACGGGCCTGTTTCCCACTTCCATTCTCTAATTAAAAGGTTCCTGATGTTTGATTTCTCCCTGAATGTGCTCCCAACGCCAGGCACGCAGCACTGGCGGTCACGTCCCTCTCGCCCGCGGGTCTCTCCTGCCCTGGGAAGCGCCCCCCACAACACACCCTCCAGTTTCCATGCGGCCGGGACCAGGGTTCTCAGAAACTCGCTTTCAGGGGAACGTGGATGCAATGTAAGAACGACGCCGACGCTAGGTGGCAAGATTAAATTAGGATCCGCCGGCCCGCCCGCTAGGGCGGCGAGTCCCTGCGCATGCAGTCTGCCGGCAGCCCGCCTGGGGTGCCCGGCGCGGGGCGCAGCGGCTCCCGAAGCCCCGTTTGTTCTGAACCAAACAGCAGGGGCTTCTGGTGGGTCCAAGCCCGCCTCTGCACTTCAGCCTTACAGGTTACTGCCCGTGAACTCTTCGCTTCTCCGCGGGGCAGCAGCGGGAACCCTGAAGGGTCTAAGTGTGAGTCCCGAAACTCTCCGGGTATTTGGGAGCCACACACGACAGGACTCCGGGTGCCTCACTGGAGAGACTTCCGTGCACGAAGACACCAGGTGATTCGCAGATTGCTATTTGCCGTGTTTTGGGTATTTTTGAACGTTGTGGTTTTGGCGTCTGTCGCAATGAAAGCCGCGTTTTGCCAGGACGGTGCCCGTTACCACCGAGAAGGCAGCTGTAGCACCTACAGCGAGGCACTGTCGCCTGGCTGTGCTGCTGTCCCGGGGCGCCGGCTCCCACACTCACACCTTGCGGCCCAGGAGGCCTGCGGAGGGACGCGCTCGCGCGCGCGCGTTGGCAAGGCGGGGGTGGGGTGGTGGGAGTGAGGGCGGAGCAGCGACGGAAAGACCTCGAGTGCGCCCTGCACAAAGCTGGACTCCAGAGTGGGAGGGAGTCCATGCCCCACCTCAATCCTGCCTTGCGCCCGCGAGCATGAGAGCAATTTAGATAATTCATTGTGTGATACGTATGTTCTCGGCCCTCCCAATAAACTCATTTCCCTTTTAAAAAATGAAAACAAAAGTTCTAGTGTCTGATGGACGTGTAAAAACCTAACAAGGTGACGGTTGTGTAAAGGTTGCGGGTGGGGGGGGGGCGCGGGCGAGGTCTTCGGAGCATGTGCCGGACATTGTTGCAGAGGCCGCGGCGCGCGCGGAGGGGAGCTCTTTCTCTCGGCATTGTGCGGGGAGCAGGTGCGGTCTGCATTACCATACAGCTGAGCGCACAAAGAGCCACTGATTCAGGCTCGCACAATAACCGACTGCCCTAATGACAGCCACGCGAACGACACACACCAAACTCACTTTTTACCGAGCGGAGGGAGGCCGAGGGGGCAATACCCAGGAGCGAGGGGCCGGAGACCCAGGGAAGGTGGCGGCGGCCGAGAGTCGCGCCGGGAAGGGCGTGCGTGCGCGTGTGCTGCGGGGAGGAGGGGCTGTGGGTTCAGGCGTCAGGATCGCCCGGCTGGGGGGCGGGGGCACGCACTGCCTGGACCCCGCCCCCCCAGGGGCCGCGGGGACACCGGGGTCCCCGCGGGCGCCGCGCTCGTCCCCGGCCCCGCCCTGCGCGCGGGCTCCGCGTTCCCAGACGCTGAGCCGCCATCCTGGCCCGGGAGGTGGGTGGGTGTCAGACCTTCCCAAACTTCTCGAAACTGCCGCTGTGCTCTCGCCACCCTCTGCCCACCGCCCGCGCCCGCCCCGGTCTCATCGCGCCCCCGGACCCCCGGTCCCGGTGGCTCCTCCTTCGGAAGAGGCCGCCCGGGAGAAGGCGGGCCGCCGGGAATCGGGCCTCTAACTTCGCCCCCCCTCCGGTGTCCGAAGCCCCGCGACGCGGCCGCGTGAGGAGACGGTGGGCGGGCGCCGCGGCCCGGACGGTCTCCGGGGCCGCGACCTGCGCACCAGTCCGGCTGCACCCGGCAGGCGGGCGGGAGGGCGGGAGGCGCGGCGCCGCCCCGCGTGCCCCGTGGGCCTCGGCGGGCCTGTGGCCGGGAGGCTGCCGAGGAGGCCGGGGGCGCCGGCGGCGGCGGCGGCGGCGGCGGCGGCGGCGGCAGCGTCGGGATCGGAGGGGATTCTTGCGGGAACGTTCCGCAGGAATGTAAATGAGTGCGTTTTGTGCCGAGAGGGGGAGGGGGCTGGGGGCGGGCGCAGGGGAGGGCCGGGGGCGGGGAGCGGTGGGGGCGGGGAGGAGGGTTGCACATTTTACAGCTCACTGACCATTTGGCGATCCATTGAGAGGAGGGTTTGGAAAAGTGGCTCCTTTGTGACAGCTCTCGCCAGATTGGGGGGCTGCTCATTTGCATCTCATTAGCCATGCGGGCGGCCGGCGCGATATAAGGGCGCGGCGCTGGCGAGAGCCAGACCCTCGGCGCGCACCCGCGGGACCCGGCGGCCAGGGCGGATCGGCGCGGAGGACGGGCCGCGGCGCGCACAGCCTCCTCCCACGACCCGCCTCGGATCCGCGCGTGTTTATCGGATGGCACTGGCTGGGCTCCTCGGAACGACGCGAATCTCTGAGGCGGCACAGGAGGTACCAGGGGCCCAGGCTGCTTCCGGAGCGCCCGCCGCCGCCGCCGCCGAGTGACCCGGCCCGGCCCGCGCTCCGCCGGCCCCGGATGATCGCCGCGCCCGTGGATTTTCAGACCGCGCCGCCAACCGGACTCGGAGGAGCCTCCGCAGCCCCTTGGGAACTAAGCTGACTGGACGCTTTCTCTGTCCTTCCCTCTCTCTCTCTTTTCCTGCGAAGACGCTTAAGAAAAAACCAGGAAGCAGACGACCCTGACCCACTCGCGGATTGAAAGAGAAGAGGGGGAAACCGAAAGTCGCCGCTCCAGGAGCAATCTGTCCGAACGAGCCCTGCTCCTCACGCGGCCCCAGCTGCCTCACCGCCGAGGGCGATCCCAGAAGCCTCGGCCTGGACCGAGCCGGGCCGGACCCCAGGAGAAGGGAGGCCTGGTCGTCCCGGCCCGGCAGAGCCGGACTCCCTGCCCGCGCTGCTCGGCGTGCACTCGGCCCCTCGCGTCCCCAGCTGCTGCTTTTCTTGGACGAGAACCGGTGGACCGCCCGGAGAGCGAGCGCGCGGGGCGGTGCACCATGGGCCGCCGGTGCGCCCTGGCCCTCGCCCTGGTCTCGGCCCTGCTGTGCCAGGTGAGTTGTCAGGAGCCCTGTGGGGTCAGGTAGCAGGACGCGCGGCGCAGACTGTGGAGCGAAAGCGAACCCGGCGGCGACGACTCCGCGCCGCGCCCCCCCGCCCCAGCCGCCGCGCGCTCACGCCGCGTCCTCCCCGCAGGTCTGGAGCTCGGGGGTGTTCGAGCTGAAGTTGCAGGAGTTCGTCAACAAGAAGGGGCTGCTGGGCAACAGCAACTGCTGCCGCGGGGGCGCGGGGCCCCCGCCGTGCGCCTGCAGGACCTTCTTCCGCGTCTGCCTCAAGCACTACCAGGCCAGCGTGTCCCCCGAGCCGCCCTGCACCTACGGCAGCGCCGTCACGCCGGTGCTGGGCGTCGACTCCTTCAGTCTGCCCGAGGGCGCGGGTGCCGACCCCGCCTTCAGCAACCCCATCCGCTTCCCGTTGGGCTTCACCTGGCCGGTGAGCGCCGCACCTGCGCGCGGGGCGGGGCGCGCGGGGCCGAGGCCGGCGGCCTGGCGATAGCCCGGGCAGGGCGAGGTGAAGAGGCGGGACCGGGGCGTTTCCGTATCCGGACTGCGCGCCCAGCCCCCAAGTCGAATGAGCCCCTTCTGGGGGAAGGTCCTAGGCCCCGCTCGCAGACTGGTCGGTCGCACGGTCAGCCTCGCAGTGCGGCAGCCCCAGGGCCCCTCCGCGTGGGTCCGTCCCCCGGAGAGAGCGAGGACGGACACTCTCCAGCCCTGCCTGCTCCTGTGCGGCGCAGTCTGTATTTTTTTTAAAAAAAGTGATATCCTGTACTAACAGGCTGAAAAAACACGCCAGGAAACCACTCTTTAAAAAGTTCTTCCATTTCCTTGAGGAAAGTGAAAACAGGCGACAGATGTAGACAGGCCCCCCCAGAACACACTGCACAGAGCTCTGCCGCCACCAGGCCACCCCTGACTTGTCCCCAAGGCTTAAAGTGTCGGAGAGACGGTGCCAGTTTTTCTTGTCTCCTTCCCTTTTCTCAGGGCACCTTCTCTCTGATCATTGAAGCCCTGCACACAGATTCTCCTGACGACCTTGCGACAGGTAAACACCAACCCACAGGCTCCAAAACGCAGGCGTCCGCTGCCCCCGTGAACGCGCCCTCGAGTCCTGTGCTCCGGACTCTCGGCCTGACGCTCCAGCAGCCTGGGGGGCGGGTGGTGTCGCCACCTCCCGGGGCCGCGTGCCTGTCCCCACGCCCTGGCCTCTAGGTTCAGAGTCCGAGCCTCCTCTCCCCCCAGAAAACCCCGAGAGGCTCATCAGCCGCCTGGCCACGCAGAGGCACCTGACGGTGGGGGAGCAGTGGTCGCAAGACCTGCACAGCAGCGGCCGCACGGACCTCAAGTACTCGTACCGCTTCGTGTGCGACGAGCACTACTACGGGGAGGGCTGCTCCGTCTTCTGCCGCCCCCGGGACGACGCCTTCGGCCACTTCACCTGCGGGGAGAGAGGGGAGAAGGTCTGCAACCCCGGCTGGAAGGGCCAGTACTGCACCGAAGGTCGGTCCCTGCGGACGGGGGGCCGCCTCCCTCAGCGCCGGCGGGGGGCGTTCTGGGGGCCCGGGCCCAGGCTGTGGGCACCAGAGAGGCGTCCTGGTGGGGAAACCGAGGCTGGGGAGCTGCAGAGACGCGCCAAGGCCCCCGCCAGCCAGCGGAGGAGTCGGGGTCAACTCTGTGTTTTAACTTCCGCTATGGGAAGCTGCCGTTCTTAATCAGGGCGGATTTGGGAGCCAGAGCCAGGGTCAGGAAGTCAGCGAGGGAGAGGGAGGGGAGGAAGGAAGGGAGGAACAGAGGGCAGCGCTTGTGTGCGGCCCAGTCCCTGCCGGGGGCGCCTCGCCGCGAGGGCGCAGCTCTCTCCCTGGAGCTGGTGTGCCGGGCCTCTTCCCAGAGCCCGGGCAAGGCAGGCGCCCTGGGGTGCACACGGAGGGCGTTGTCACGCCTGGGGGCTGGGGACGCCGGAGGCTGTATGTGCGGCGTGGGTGGGCCCACAGCACCTTGCCCGGGAAACATACCCTCCCGAGTCCCCTGGGACCACCCCTGCCCCCCGCCCGTCACCCAGGGCGCCCTGGCAGCCGGCCGGCCGGGCAGCTGCTCTGAGGTAGCAGCGACCAGGGCAGGGGAGCGGGGCTGCGGAGGGCCCTGCTGGCTCCTGGGCCCAGTCCAGCCCGGGTCCCCACAGGCCTCTCGCCAGCCGGCTAGGTCCCCGCTGCTGCCTGTGCCCCGGATCAGATGTCCCCGTGGGCAGGGTGGGTCCTGGAGCTCCCCAGCCCCCCTGCACTTCTCTTCTGACCCCGAGCAGCGCCCATCCCTGGAGGTGCCCTCTCCGGGGTCTGTGGGGGTCGGTGCCCGGGGTGAGGGTGGCTCTTCGCTCTCAGTGTTGGGGTCACCCAGCTTGGCGCGAGCTCCTCGAGCACCTGGGGCCCCACCTTGGCTGATCCGCTCTGTTGTCTTAAAAACTCGTGGGGCGGCTTGTTAACGAGCTCGGCAGCCAGGCGCAGCCAGGCAGGGAGCCAGCGGCCGGGCCCCAGCCAGTCCCCTGGGGCCAGGCCTGCGCCGTCCTCGCCCTTCTTCCCGGTGGGGTAGCCGGGTAGCCAGTGAACTCAAACTTTTTTCTTCTTATTCAAACACGGGAGCCTCTCCCCGCCCCCAGCGCGCGCGTGCCGTCCATTAGATCTCCGCGGGGATAGGCGCAGGGACGCACGCCCGCGCCCATTGGCGGAAGGGCGCGCGTGCATGTGTGTGTGTGGTGTGTACACGCCGGGGTGTGTGCGGGGCGGGGGCCGGGGTGAGGGGCCCGTATTGTTGCACGGGGCAGCTGCTGGGAGAGAGCAGACAATAGAGCAGCTGTCTTGCCCTGGTGCTGTGCAGACCAGCTGTCCACCCTTATCTGCACACACACTTTCTGGGTATTAAGAGGTGGAGCTTTGTGCATAGAATTGGGAAGTGGGGGAGGAGGAGGGGAAGGACTTCTGACCCTCTCTCAGAAGAAAAGGGGATGGGGTGGGGGCGGGGGCTTCCGCGCTCTTTTGTCCTTGAGCGGCTGTGTTAAGGAGAATGCTCGCCGGACTGAGCGAAGTCCACCGTTGCCGGGCGGGACGCGGTGCGCCGGGCTGGGCCCGGGGCGGCCGGCCGGCGGGGGGAGGCCGGCCTGACCCCGCGCCCTCTCTCCGCTGCAGCGATCTGCCTGCCCGGGTGTGACGAGCAGCACGGGTGCTGTGAGAGGCCCGGGGAGTGCAAGTAAGTCCGCGGAGGCCGTCCTCCTCCTCCTCCTCCTCCTCCTCCTCCTCCTCCTCCTCCTCCTCCCTCCTCCTCCTCCTCCTCCTCCTCCTCGCTCCCCTTCCGCGGGTGGCCCTGCGCAGCCGCTGGGGGTGGTCTTGTGCTCTGAGGGGCCTGCCCACTGAGTGCGTGCGTGGAAACACGCACGGTCCCGGGGCGTCGGTCGCTGCGGCGCCCGGGTGGTCCGAGCTTACGGAGAGGGTGTGGCACGTGACCGGGTTGAGCTCCGCGGCCCTCAGTCTTGGGGCGCATCCCGATCCCCTGGGGGGCCTCTGGGGCGGCCGCCTGGCGGTCCCCGGGAGCCCGGTCCTTGGGCCCGTGGAGAGGCACTGTCTGAGAACCCGCGGTGTTGGCGCCGCGCGGAGACATTCTTCCGAGGGCAGGAGACGCTGTGCTGTCCCCCGGGAATGCCGGTGTCCCCTGACCCTGCCTTCTCCCCGCAGGTGCAGAGTGGGCTGGCAGGGCAGGTACTGCGACCAGTGCATCCGGTACCCGGGCTGTCTACACGGCACCTGCCAGCAGCCCTGGCAGTGCACCTGTCAGGAAGGCTGGGGGGGGCTTTTCTGCAACCAGGGTAAGCCTCCTGTGCCCTGCAGGCAGCCTGGGCTCCCAGCTGCCCCTGGGGAAGGCAGGGCCTTGCCCAGTCTGACCTGGGGCTTCCCTACTCTCCTCTCCCTGTCCCCGCTTCCCCCAGACCTCAACTACTGCACACACCACAGGCCCTGCAAGAACGGGGCCACCTGCACCAACACGGGCCAGGGAAGCTACACCTGCTCTTGCCGGCCTGGGTACACGGGGGCCACCTGCGAGACGGAGGTCGACGAGTGCGGCGCCAGCCCCTGCAGGAACGGGGGCAGCTGCACGGTGAGTGCAGGCACCGTGGGCTCCGCGGCCGAGTGGGCCCCGCGTGGACGCGGGCTGCGGGGTCTCCTGGAGCAACTTCAGGAAGCCTTTTCCTCTTCCCCGTCACGTAGGATCTTGAGAACGGCTTCTCCTGCACCTGCCCGCCCGGCTTCTACGGCGGAGTCTGCGAGCTGAGCGCCATGGCGTGCGCGGACGGCCCCTGCTTCAACGGGGGCCGGTGCTTGGACAACCCCGAGGGGGGCTACACCTGCCGCTGCCCCGCGGGCTTCTCCGGCTTCAACTGCGAGAAGAAGGTGGACGCCTGCAGCCCCTCGCCGTGTTCTAACGGTAAGGGGCCGCCCGCGGAGGCTCGGCCGCGTGTCAGCGCTGATGCTGCGTCGGGAACACGGGTCTGGTCTCGGCCTGGGTCTGCGGCGTGGCTGGCCGCCTTGAGTCCATGGAGCCCGTTAATCTGAGCCCAGCAACTCTCTGTACAGAGATTCTGTCCTCGAGCCTGGGAACGCCCAGGGGGCCAGAGAGGCAGGGCACGCGACCGGCCTCAGGTTCTACGGGGAAAGCCGGTGGCGGAGGGGCTCCGGGTCCCGCAGCCCGCGGGTGCCCGAAGGTGGCGCCCTGGCCGCTGTCCGGCCTAACCGCGGTCCCGTGTGTCTGTGCGGAAGCGTGGCAGGGGTGCCCTGCACAAACTCGCAGGGAGCGAAGTAGGGCCCCAGACGGGCCGGATCTTTCTGGAAGCTTGTGGAGCTTCCCCATTAGACAGGGTGATCTCGGGAAGCTTCCAGCAAAAGAGGCTCATTTCCGCCTCACCCGTGCGGAACACCAGGCGTGGCCATCCTGTGCATGCACAGAGGCGCCGAGGCCTTGTTTTGGCGAGGCAGCCAGTCAGGGTTCAGCAGGCGGGCCCGTAAGGACGGCACCCCTTCCTCCTCTCTCTCTCTCTCACCCCTGCCCTTCTCTCAGGCTCTGTCACCGGCGGCTCACCATCTCTGTGAACCGGGCCCCTCGCTGGGTGGTTGTGAGGACTGCGGTGTGGCAGGCAGGGCGCTGTGCCCCGGGCCTGGGAAAGCGCGGCTGCCCCAGAGGCAGGAGCGCTGCTGCTGCCCTTCACGGGCCCAGGCCGGGCCCCGTGGGTGCACGGGAGGCAGTGGGATAGGGCGCCCTGAGCCACGATGCCCTCCTTCAGGCCGCAGGCCTTCTGGGTCGTCCTTGTCTCTTGTGGGTGACGCCATGGCAGACGCGGCGCAGGCTCTGGGGCGTTCGCTGGGTGGTGAGCGACCGCCGCTGTCCTGCGTTCCAGGCGCGCAGTGTGTGGACCTGGGCGACGCCTACCTGTGCCGCTGCCAGGCCGGCTTCTCGGGGCGGCACTGTGACGACAACGTGGACGACTGCGCCTCCTCCCCGTGTGCCAACGGGGGCACCTGCCGGGACGGCGTGAACGCGTTCTCCTGCACCTGTCCGCCCGGGTACACAGGCAAGAACTGCAGCGCCCCCGTCAGCAGGTGCGAGCACGCGCCCTGCCACAACGGGGCCACCTGCCACGAGAGGGCCCGCCGCTACCTGTGCGAGTGCGCCCAGGGCTACGGGGGCCCCAACTGCCAGTTCCTGCTCCCCGAGCCGCCCCCGGTCCCCGTGGTGGTGGACTTCACTGAGAAGTACCTGGAGGGCCAGGCAGGGCCGTTGCCCTGGGTGGCTGTCTGTGCGGGCGTGGTCCTCGTCCTCATGCTGCTGCTGGGCTGTGCGGCTGTGGGGGTCTGCGTGCGGCTGAGGCTGCAGAAGGGCCGGCTCCCTGCCGACCCCTGCCGCGCGGAGACGGAGACCATGAACAACCTGGCCAACTGCCAGCGCGAGAAGGACATCTCCGTCAGCGTCATCGGGGCCACGCAGATCAAGAACACCAACAAGAAGGTGGACTTCCACGGGGACCACGGTGCCGACAAGAACGGCCTCAAGGCCCGCTACCCCGGCGTGGACTATAACCTGGTGCAGGAGCTCAAGGGCGACGACGCTGCCGCCAGGGACCCCCACGGCAAGCGTGACACCAAGTGCCAGCCGCGGGGCCCTGCTGGGGAGGAGAAGGGCACCCTGACACCGAGGGGGTGCGTGCCATGGGCTGCGAGGGGTCACAGGGGAAGCCGACTGGGGAGGGCACCCCAAACCTCAGGGGGCGTTGGGAGCCAGGCCGGGCAGGAGGGCCAGCCAGGGCGGGCGCCCCGATATTCGGCTTTGAGCTGGACCCAGCGGGGCAGGAGGGTGTTCTCTGAGCTCTGGTCGTTTTCCTTAACACTGTTTGCACATGTTCACGGGTTCCGTTTTCTTTTCAGTAGCGATGCTTCTGAGAGAAAAAGGCGGGACTCTGTGTACTCGACATCAAAAGACACAAAGTACCAGTCGGTGTACGTCATATCGGAGAAGGACGAGTGCGTCATAGCCACTGAGGTGGGTCTGGGCGCCGCCCCGCGGGCGGCGGCCCCGGCGCCGGCCTCCACGTTGCGCTGACTTCCCGTTCTGTCTTGTCGGCCCCTCCAGGTGTAAAGTCGAGGTGATGTGGCAAGTGTCCCGTTTCTCTTAAACTGCATAGAATTCCAAGGACCTGTGCCCCAACGGATGCTGCTGAGAGGGGAGCGGAGGCTCCACGGGCGGGCGGCTGCTGGACGCGGTCCCGGCAGCCGGCGCGACGCCGCGCGGGCTGCGGGCTGCCCCGGGTGCCTGCTGCACGCTGCCTTTTCGCGACGTCAACATTGCACTATGGACAGTTGCTTTTAAAAAATATATATTTAAATGAATGGACTGAATTACGACACAAGACGCATGCACTGCCTGAAGTGTATATTTTGGATTCTTATGAGCCAGTCTTTCTTGAATTAGAATCACAAACACTGCCTTTATCGTCCTTTTTGATACTAAAAGGTGTTTTTTCTCGGTGGAAAAAGATGTGTGTTATTTTTTTGGACCTGTAAAAATATTTTTCATGATATCTGTAAAGCTTGAGTATTTTGTGATGTTCATTTTTTATAATTTAAATTTTTGGTAAATATGTACAAAGGCACTTCGGGTCTATGTGACTATATTTTTTTGTATATAAATGTATTTATGGAATATTGTGCAAATGTTATTTGAGTTTTTTTACTGTTTTGTTAATGAAGAAATTCCTTTTTAAAATATTTTTCCAAAATAAATATTATGAATGACAGCCTGAGGTGAGCTGCCTGGCTCCTGAGCGCCCCCCGCCCCCGGGGACCCCGAGGACAGGCACCCCCGGCCTCTGGTTCTCGTGTTCATGTCTTTGCCGGGTCTCCCTGGGTGGGTTAAAAGCAACGTTCCTGGCTCCCGGCTGGGCCACGGAGCCTCCCGGCGGCCCCTCTCGGGACGGCTTGCAGGGCAGCCCCCGCCCCCGGGGCCCTCCTTGCTGAAGGCCCGAAACGGAGACGCCTCACTCGGGCGAAGGGCCGTGGGGAGCGTCATGCGTGGCGTCATGGCAGAGGCTTTTTCCTTTAGCGCTGACGCATCAACTGCTTCGTGGGGTTTTTTTCCCAGTTACTTCAAAAGAGTTGCCTTCTACTTCAATGTTGGTTTGGTTGGACAGATGCCCACATGCCAGGCCTGTGGGAGCCACCCCCCCGGGGGCGTCCCATGTGTCCTGCTGGTGCACAGGAAATGGGTTTGGAGCACAGGGTTTGTAAGGGGCCGAGTCAACGTTCAAATCCGGGCAGTGGTGCTCCGGGCCGCACACGGCTCCCTGCCCCTCGGTCGGCAACGCGGCTGCCTGGGAAGCAGGACCCCTCGCCCCCCCGCCCCCATGCCGGCTGCAGTGCCCGGGCGACAGGTTCTGTTCCCGAGGCTGCAGGGCACACACTGGCGGGCTCTGCTCGCCTGCGTCCCGGGTCATCGCACTCGGTCCTGATCGTACAGTCAGCAATTCCGGAACGTTCCTGGGGAGGAGAGGCAGGGTGTGTGCATGTTAACTGGGGCCCCTGCCCACCCCCACGTGTGTGAATGAGGGAGACAGACTGACACCAGTAAACCCACGTCCTGTCAGGCTCAGAGGCCACACGCCTGCTGGTGCTTCTATGTGCAAAACAGAGCCCCGCCTGTCGGGGCCCCTCCGGCCCGCCGGCTGTGACCTCGAACAAGTCCGTGCAGGCCAGGGCTCTGGCCGAGCGATGCAGCCACGGGGAGGGAGCAGTTCGTGGGGCCCCTAAGCTCCCTCCCTCCCCAGCCCGCCCCCCGCTGACTCGACTGCCGTGGCAGCACATTCCAGAATATTCCAGAATAACGGGCGCGAGCGGCTGCCGTTTCCTTCAACAGTCCGAGGACTCTGCGGAGGGTGGGGCGGGCTGGTGCCTGTCTGCACTCGTTAACCTGGAGCAGGGCTGAGTTGCTTCCTTCACCCTTGGAGGTCACCCAACTGGGGTCACAAATTAAATGGCTTATCTAGTTTTAAGACCGGGGAAGATGCAGGGATGCTTGTCCAGTCCATTCTGTCAAAGAACCTCCGAGTCCTCACAGGGAGCCTCGACTTCATCCTCCTCAGCCTTCTGAAAATCAGGGAACCGTATTCGCCCTTCCTCTGGGGCAAGCCGACGACCTGCTCAGGGACAGATCGAGACCCGTGCCAGCGGCTGGGAATGCCTGCACTCGCTTCGCTGGCCAAGCCTCTTCCGCAAAGGAAACCGAACTTGAATCTGACCTGACACGTCGATCCGACCGCCAGCTCGTACCGACGTACAGAGGATGAGCCGCCCGGTCAGGGTGTCGCTGGGGTCACTTGGCCGGACCCCGGGGACGGGGGGCAAGGAGAGGGGGGTTCAGGGGCTCCTGGATCCCAGGAGACTCGGCGGTGGTAGAGCCTCTTGACACAGGTAAAGAAACGTCTTCGCACCAGTAGAGGATGTTGGCGCGGACGCACGTCCTAACGGCTTCAAGCACACAAAGCTTTTAGGTGTGAGAGGTCATTACTGTTGTTAACAAAAAAGAGTCCTTAACTTTGGCAGCAAATGTCGGAAACAATACCAGGTCGGGGACCCGCTTCAGAACAACCCGCGGCGGGGCTCGGTGGCGGGCGGGCGGCTGGGCAGCTCAGAGCGCGGCGGAGACAAAACTGCTGCTCTCCTCCTCTTCACGCACGTCCGAAACCCGCCATGAGCGGACGCGCTCAGAGAATCACCCCCCGAGGAGACGCACAGACAGACACGTGTCTGCAGGAGGCATCTGCGGCCGTGACTCGGGGAGGTTTTCTGTCTCTTCATACGCACACTCAGACCAGAAACCTGGTGACACCCCCACTCAACAAACCAAGCGGGTTGAGGCGCAGAGCAGTGTGGTTCAGACCCGGGCTCCGCCCGCACCGGCCAGGCACCCGGTCGGTGGCCGTGGGCTGTGCTGAGCCCACGGGAGGGGGATCGCGGGGCTCTCTGTGGAGCAGCGTCACGAGGGTTCCATCTTCCACGATGCCACCCAGGCCTTCCAAGGCACAGGCCCGAGGGAGCCACCCCCTGCCCCAGTCAGCTAACAGTTTCTGACCGTGAATTTAGCACCAATTCAAAATGCTTAGCTCGGCCTGTTGGGCCTTTGCGTGGCCTGGTTCCTGGCTGCCTCTTGGCCCCCACTGTCCCTTCAGGGACCAGCTGCAGCCATACGGCCATTGGCACGTGGTCTCCCCCGCCCGATTCCGCAACTTCCTGTGTGACCTCCATCTGCTGGACGCTCTGTCACTGCGAGCTCCTTGGACGGGCGGCCGTCAGGGGAGCCCTGGCTCGGCCTCCCGGACCGGGGTCCCTGCCCTGCCCGCTGATGGCCCTTGGCCGGGTTAGCTTGCGCGTCCCCAGAGACGGCAGCGGTCGGAGGGCGGGCCCGCCAGCTTGTGCCGTCGCTGCGCCCGGTCTCTGCTTTGTGCCTGAGGTAGAGGGGGCCTTTGCACGCGTGCGTGGCGGTGCACACACACACACACACGGGAATGTGTGAAAGTGAGTGAGGACCCTGGTCCCGAAAGGTTTCTTCTGTGTTCGCGCTTATCAGCGTCACCAGCAGTTTTGGACCCTAACATGGGCCAGACAGCGGTGTTGTCTGAGCGGAAGGCCACGCGGTTTTGTTTTTGTTCTAACAAACAGACAGTCACCTGGACACAGTGTGCCGGGAGGATGTGCTTGCTCGAAACCAAGCGACATGCAGTCAGTATTTTCTGAGTTTGTGAATTTTCTAGAAAAGCTACAGGGAAGCTAAATGGTTTTCCTACAGAGCAGCCATCAGCAGGAGGCCAGGGTGAAGCCCCGCGTGCGGCGCGGACTCGAGGAGAAGAGCGGCGGAGGCGCAGGGTGCGTCTCTGCCGGCCAGACGCCTCCCCCCAGGGGGCAGGAACCAGGGACACTGGAGGGCTTCGCGCTTCGGTCATTTGGAAAGAACTCAGAGACAGTCTTTTTAAAGATGACATGTGTTCGTGCACAGTATTGACACTTTTTCCTCAACAAACTTGAACTGCGTTCATTCGCACAGATAAATGAGCATTTCGATTTTAGAGAACCCTGGCTGACCCACGTCACTTCCCCCCGAGAGCCCGGAAAGCCGTCACCCTCGCTCCCTGGGCGACCAGCCTTGAGCAGCAATGCCGCTCTCACGCCTCGCCTGTTTCCTCGGGCCACGCCTGCTGCCCCACTCCTGGCACTTGCCGATTCCACGCTCTGGAGACTCCAGTCTTCACAGAAAGCAGGCCGGTCCCCACAGGAGCCGACGTGAGATGGTGTTTCGGAATGGACGGCCACGCTAGTGTCAGGGCCTCTTGTTTGGGGAGCACCCCAAGTGTCCGTGACGGCGCTCACGGCATCCACAGTGTTTGTGAAAAGGGGCCGGGTTCAGGATGAGAGGCAGGGCGCGCATTCACGGCGACGAAGGTGCCCGCCCGGGAAGCAGCAGGCCCCACCAGACGCGATTTCTGAACACTGGGCAAGAGTTCAAGGGTGCCTGCGGGATGGAGCGCGGGGCCCCTGCCGAACCTCTGCAGCTCAGGCACCACAGCTGCGTCTGTGCGCCCTGGTGCTCACGCCGGCCGTGGTCACGCCGCTTTGAACAAAGAGTCAGCGTTTTAGTTAACGCGAACTGTAAGATGAATGGAGCAGAAGGGAAACACTGCCGTTTGCAGCCCTGGGCACTTGGCGAGACCCTCGCGGGCCCAGGGAACGCCTCTCTCCGGAGACAGACTGGGACCCGAGGCCCTCCGCTGCTCGGTCCACCCTCGGCCCCGGCCACGGCCACACCCGGGTCTGGGACCGCGGGCGCCCTGCTTGGGGGCTGGAGCCACGCGTGGCAGGCACGGCCGCACTCAGCCGCCCTTGGCAGGAGGCGCGGGGTGCAGCCTGGGCCGGTGTGGGGAGGAGCGGCTCCTTGGTGGAGACGCAACAAGATTCCTTTAAAACTGCGGGTGGATTTGCTTCTCTCTGTGAATTTCAGCCCTTTCTCAGAAGCTTAGAAAAACTTTGGCATAGAAAGTCAAGTTACGTGCAGCGTCAAGAGGGGCAAACAAAACAGAAGGCAGGGCGGCCGCCCCCCTGGAAGAACGTGCTTTCCACCCTCGTTCAACAGAAGTGGGTGCCCCGCCCTCCCTGTGC